GGCAAAAGGCCCAGGGCTAGGAGCAGTCACTTGCTGTCTCTGTCTCCCAGCTCTCCACCATGACCCCTGCTAGTGCCCAGGAATCCTGGGTCCTCTGGGGCTAGGGAGGGGAAAGGGGAAGAAAGAAGGGGAGTTGATCTCTGGTAAGACTGTACTGACTTCTGACTTTAACATTGTTCATCTGGCTTTCCACAGGGGCACTGTCATGGAGGTGGGCCCCCGCCTGGCCCAGGGCACTGCCATGGGCCCCCACCTGGTCCAGGACACTGCCATGGAGGTGGGCCCCCGCCTGGCCCAGGGCACTGCCATGGAGGTGGGCCCCCACCTGGCCCAGGGCACTGCCCTGGTGGTCCCCCCCCAGGGCACCACGGACACCCCCATGGTCCACATCACTGAGGAAGCAGAAGAAAGAAGACACAAGACTGGGGAGCCTGACTGGCATGGGGCCTGAACCAGAGTCTTCTCTTCCTAATAAATAGCCTCCTGGAGGCCATGTTCTACTCTTAAAAGAGCCTGTCTTCCTTTACGTCCAACCTGGCTCTCAGGGGGCCCAGTGGTCTCTGAATTCCCTAGTTGTGAAAATGGGCAGCCAGTCAGGCATTCTCAGAAGTTTAGGTCAGAGGTGTCCATAGCATATGGCTAAATAAGGTCACCTTTCCTTTTGTTTTCATTTCTGTCTCTCTCCTTACCACCAGAGGACCTCAAAAATGGCCTTATCTTCTCTACCCCATCATGTATACCCAGACCTGGTGAGCCTTCCAAGGTTGCATCTTGTATGCCTCACGCTACAGATCCGAAGCCTTCAATGGATCCCTACTGTCCAGATGTTATTTCTCACGGTACCCTGAAAATATACAGAACTTTCCAGCCTCTTTAACTTTGCACAGTTTCCCCACCACCATCACCTCTGCATTCCTTCCAAGCCAGCTAAAGCTCCACCATCAACATGAAGCCTTCCCTAATGCTCATTAGGATGAAAGGCCCTTTGTCTCTTTTCACACTGTCCCCTTGTCTGCAACTTATATCAACCATCACATGGGCCGGACCACACTCTACCCAGTTGGCACCAATTAATGGGTTGGCTTTTTATCTCTCCAACCAAACTAAGTTACTCAGGGGACAGACCACCACTTCTACACCTCTAGACTCTCCCACCCTTATCCCCTACTGGTCTATGTCTTGCATAGACTGTCATTTGCACACAGTTTAGGGATACCCATAGTCCAAACACTCCTGCATTCTGACTCTCCAGCCCCATTCTTCAGCTAAGACACCTCCCACACATACAGACAGCCTGCTGTCTATGAAACCCTTCTGCCCATCCAATCCCACATCTGGGATCCTCTCCACTCCCCAACTCCCAGGCTTCTCACATTGCCCATATCTGTTCTGGTGCTACCACAGCCTTCTAGCCAGGCCTGTCTACCGCCCAGCACACCTCCCTTCTCACAGCCATTCCCTGACGGGGGAGGCACCAAGCACCTTGGAGGTGAGTGGCTATTGGGTATCTTCCAGGCTGAAGTGGGGTGGTTTTAAGAAAAGGAGCTGGGGACTCTCTGTCTCTCTTCTCCCTCTCCCCCGCCATACTCTGCACTTGAATAACAGAATAGGGGCTCCACGTCTGAGGGCCGCATACCCACGTCCAGACGAACATGAAGACTCAACCTAAGCAAGTGTTTAGCCCCACTGATGAGGAAAGAGGGGACACTGAGTGGAGCCAAGAGAAATGTGGGACTAAAAGAAGCCCAGCCTCTCAAACCCTCGGCGTCCTGAGCAGAGAAGTGCCGGCGTGGATCTACTCCCTCTTTCGGGCAGGAAGAGTCTGCGTTACAAGTTATGAGGCTCCTTATACCGTGCCTGGGGTTGAGCTTCCTGGTCTCTTACGGGAAGACCGATGCCCCGTAGGAAAGGCCGGTGTGCGCACTACAGCCAGACGGCCAGACTCCTAACAGCAGCTCTCAGACTCGGGCTGGGTAGAGGGGCCCACAACACCAGCACCTGGGTCTTCAAGTCATCTATCCTCCAGCGTAGGGCAGCGGCGCGGCGCGAAGCCCCGTCCCCGCCCCCCGGTGCCGCGCCCATTGGCTGGGATCCTCGTCGACCCCGCCCAGCGATTGGCCCGCCTGGCTATAACGCATGCGCATAAGCCTACCGCCGCCGCCGCCGCCGCCGCTTCAGCACCAGAGCCCGGACAGCGGCGCCGCCCACGGGCATGGACGGTGGTAGCGGCAGCAGCGATCCGGCTCCCGGCCCGGGTCCGGAAGGGGAGCAGCAGCCCGAGGGGGAGCCTTTGGCCCCAGATGGCAGCTCCCTGGACAGGTAGGGGCGGACTGCTCCGCATACCCAGCTCGAAGACCTTCCCAGAACCCCCGCCCCAGGTATCCCCAGTAGCCGCCATATGCCGCCCCATTCATTCCCCAGCCCCTCCCAGAGCCCCTTCCTGCACCTCCAGACTCCCGGCCCCCTGGCCACGCCCTCATTCTGCCGGGTTAATTTTCTCTCTCCCTAATATCCTCTACTGTCAGCCCCCTTCGCCCTCAGCACCCCCTGGACCAGCCCCACCCACTATTCCTACCTTACCTCTAAGGCTCTCTGTTACCCCGCCCCTCCGGCCACCAGAGCCCCTCCCTCTAGGCCCTGCCCCCCGCGTCTTCTCAGTTAGCCCCAAGCCTGCAGTGTCCTGAGTCCGGGTTCCAAAAGCGTGTCAATGTGCTCAAGAGTGCGCGGGTATTGTAGACGGGAGGCTCGCCAAGGTATGTGTCCTGGGGAAGGCAGACACTCGGCTGCCACGCTGGGGTCTGTCTTTGTCCATCACTGTCAGTCTCCAGTCTGCCCGGCATGGCCGGCTGCGCACGTGTGGGCTCGAGTCCCCGCCTGTGGCAGCCACCTGCACTCGTTGGAGGCTCTGGGTGGTCAGGCTCTGAGGCTCAGGCCACCGTCGCTACCGTCCCTGAAGGAGCACCAGGTTGGTGGGACAGGAGGAACACTTTCCCCCTGAGGGCCCAGATCTTGTTGCCTCTCCTCTCCCTTTCCACCATATGTGTGAGGGAACAGCCCAGCCAGGTAGCAATATGGCGCAATTTCTGTGTCCTGCCTGGTCTACCGCCCCCAAAATCTCTTTCCTGACATGACACTGCCTCTCTTTCCTGCCTGGACTGAAATAAGAATTCTTTGGGAGCAAAAGCAGAGGTGGACACATAGTCTCCAAACTGCCCCAGTTAAAATGTACATTCTGTACGTCAGAGTGAAGAGGAGGCCCTACAAGCTAAGAGAAATGTTTTCTTCTCTTTACTGTTAACAGTTCAGCCTGGGTAGATTTAGCCACCTTTCAGTCTGAAAGGCACAGAACTTTCTTCAAGGGGATGAGACACAGGATTAATATGTTCCCTAGACCAGGGGGCTGCCTGGGACTATGGCCTGACCAAACAGCCAAGGAAGGACAAGGCAGGGACAGTGACAGGAGAGGGCAAGGGACAGGAGCATCCCTAGAAGGGGCTGGAGAGTCATTTGCTGCCTTGGGCATTTTACCCAGGATCAGCCGTGTCCCGTCTGCTCACTTGCTCACTTCCCCTGCACATGGAGGTCATACTTGGGCACAGGAACAACTTGCTCTTTTCTAGCAACCCCCTGAGACCTCCAGCCCCTCTCTGCACTTCTGCAGAGACCCTGGACAAATCAGGCAAAGAGACTCAGTTCAGCTGAAGAAACACAAATACACTCCTGCTGAACTAAGTAGCAATCTGGGAAGTGAATAAGACAGCACACACACATGCAGTGTTTTACTAATGCATTGACTACAGGGCAATTCGAAATAGTTCATTCTTTGTGCTCTTAAAATTACCTTTTTTTGTGAAACTTTTTTTTAATTGAAGTATAGTTGGTTTACAATGTTGTGTTAATTTCTGGTGTACAGCATAGTGATTTAGTTATACACATACATTTATTCCTTTTCATATTCTTTTTCATTATGGGCTTAAAATTACCTTTTTATTTTCCTAGTGGCATGAACTCCCCCATCTGTCTTGGCCACTCTGCCAGGTCATACGGATGTCCATATGGCTATGTATCTGTGGGCTTGCGGGCATGGTTAATACATATGTACGTTTGCCCTTTACAAGGCTGTCAAGTAAGGGTTCTGTGTCTGGGGTACTATTAGCCAGGCTCTGACTGCTGTGACTTTGGCCTTGGGTGAGGCCTGTGTCATCATTTTCCATTCCCCTACCTGCCTGCCCGAGTCACTTGGCTTATAGGCCGGTGGGTCCAGGGAGGCAGCCCAGGAAGTTGCTCATCCCATGGATCTGAGTGAGAATGAAAGCCCCCTGGGGAGGCAGGGCCTGGAGTGCTTGACTCATGTTATTACCAGGTCTCCAGAGAACAGAGGGCAGCAGAGGTTGGCAGGAAAAAGCTTTTATTCTGAGAAGAGTTTGGCTCTTCTCCTTGGGAGGGTTTAGACAAAGGCCCAGTTCTACAGCAGTCAGAATGAGGAGGGTTTCAAATTCTGCCACATTGACAATGATGAGCACAGTCAACAAGGGTGAGATTTGGGAGCAGCTGATCCTAGTCCCCTGGAGAGGGATAGAAGAGATTGAGAGGAAGGGGCTGGGGCCAGGGAGGCCCCAGTAGAAGGAAACCAATGGTGGAGGCTGGAATCTCCCTTGAATAGGAGCCAGCTAAGGAAAAGGGAGTTCCTTAAGATTACCAAAAGAGGTGGCTCATAAGACTACCAAATCCTATGAGACTTGGTAAACTGGTTAAGAGGGAGTGCTCTTGTTCTCTGGAGTGCTGGCTTCCCTTAATGAAAAAAATGACGCTCCAACTGAGGGCCTGGCTCCTAGGACAAGCCCAATGCTCAATAAATGCTCTAAGGCCATGGGCCGCTGAAATAGGCACCATGGCTGTCCCTCTCTCCTGACTCTGGAAGGCAGGTCCTACTCTAAAGAGGGAGAACAAGACTAATGGAACACCTTCATGCCTTCAGGATCCAACCCAGACCCAGCACAGTGCCAAGTACGTGGCAGGTGCTCAAAAGAAACCTGCAAAATGAAAATCTTATAGAAGTAGATGTCCACACTCATACACATAAACCCAGGTCATTTTCCAAGCTTCCCTTTGGCTCATGGGGATGGCCCCATAAGGTCTTTTATCTGCCAGGACACTATGTCATTAAATTTATGGGGTCATGTGAGGCCTTGCTTGAGAACAACTTTAGTCAAATTCCTATTTTTCTAAATGTTGAGTTAGTTTCCAAAAAAAATCAGTGATCTAAATCATGAGACAAATTCTGATGCAGTTTTTGGATAACAAAAATAAAAGTACTTATAATTATATATGTAGTGAGATTCTCAAGGTGTGAGAAGTTCCCAAATGGAGATAATCTGCGGTGCCTAAAGAGGTCAAATTGTAAATATAAATATACTTCTTAAACTACACGCTCACTGCAGCACTGTGGGAAGAAGCAGGAAAGCAAATGTCTTCCACATGCTCCACACCAGGCACCTCACAAATGTTACATCAGTTAATTCCCATAGTAAACCTGAGGGGGCGGGCATTATCTTCATACCCTCGCTCAACAGACAAGGATACAAATGCTCCAAGAATTGTGTGTCTTTCCCAAGGCCCTGGAGCTAAAGGATGATGGAGCTAGGAGCCCACCTCCACTGCTCCCCCATTTTAGTCTCAGCATGAGGGTTACCCCCAAGCCCCTGACTGCTCGCCAGCTAGCCTTCCGGGACAAAAAAGAGGAACTTGCCTATTCTTTCCAATTCTACTGCTTGATCTCTGGGCAGAGCCCAGCCTCCGTGGGCAATATCCACTTGCCACCATAGCCAGGGCTCTGGCCCACAGTCCCTTCAGCAGTGCAGCAAGCAAGACTGAAAGCCAGAGTTGTTTCAGCATAGACCTGGATCTCTCAGGGAAGCTATGCAAGTTCCAGCAGGCCAGGTGAGCCCAGCAGATGGGCGGAAGCCTTCCTGGCCAACCCAGAACCCCTCAGGCAATCTATTCTGTGGCCATCTTCTGTCCTATGTCTGGCAATCCTGCCACTGGGGTGATACTCCATCTCCCCCTGCACCCAAGGAGTGGGGCTGGGTCCATGCACACAGAGTGCTGTCCATGAGTAATTTGGAAAGAGGAATCTATTGCTGACTCCTCCCTGGCAAATTCCTCGGGGGTCCCAACTCCCTCTCCCAACTGTGTACACCCTTGCAAAGCAAACCGTCTGCCCCAAGGCCCAGGGTTGGTGGAAGGGCAGTAGTTGCCTCTGCCAAACTTTCCCTGACTCCTCCTCCCCCATCAAGGTTGGACCCTCCTCTGGGCCCCTTCAGCCCTCTGTGACTTTCTCTCTCACAGCACTCAACATGCTGAACCTTCCCCATCTCCCACCTACCATGAGTGCCTGGAGGACAAGAACTGGGCCTTATTCATCCTAGCACCACTCTTAGCAGCCTGTCCAGCACTCCGCATTCATTCAACAAGCATCCCTGGGGCACGTTCTGTGTATAAGGCACTGCTCAAGGCATTGAGGACACACAGATGAACAAATGCATCAGGCCCTGCTCTCCCAGAGCTCACATTCCATAGGAGAGACAGGCAGTAAACATGATAATAGATAATATAATGTCCAGTTGTGGCAAATGCTAGGAAGAACTATAAAGCAGGCAGGGGGATAGAGAGCTGGTGGGTGATTATTTAGAGAGAGTAGTCAGGAAGGGCTTCTCTAAGAAGGTAATAGTTGAACTGAGACCAGAATAAAGAGAGGGTGTGAGCCATGAATTATCTGGGGAGGAGCATCCCAAGTAGAGGGAGGAGAAAGTTCAAAGGCTCCAAGGTGGGAACAAAAGTGCAGCAGGTCTGACAAGAGGATGAAGAGACAACTACAGCAGAGAGAGCATAGGATTGCAAGTCAGAACTGGGTTCAAGGCCCAGCTCTCCACGTCTCACTGAACCTCAGTTTTCAAATCTATAGAAGAACAGAACTCCCCTGGAGAGTTTTTAAAGGAGTAAGTAAGATCATATAACATGTTTTTGGTGCATGGACAGGTGAGTGAATGAGACAATGAACCCCAAGAGGTAGGCTAGGGATGTAGACCCAGAGCCTCCACCCTCCTCACCTCTCCCCAGGACTAGTAACAGAACAACCTGAGCCCCGTCTCCTCGTTGCAGCTTCCTGAGCAATGCTGGGGGGTGGAGTGGACCACTACTGTCCCCCACCCTCATTTTCCCTGTCTCTTCTCTCCCCAGGTCCCAGAGCAAGGCTGTGGCCCCCGAGGCCAGCCCAGAGAAAAGCTGCTCCCTCCACAGCTGCCCCCTTGAGGACCCTTCCATTTCCTCGGGACCCCCACCAGCAACTTCCACCCTCCAGCCTGTGGGCCCGTCCAGCCCCTTGGCCCCCTCCCACTTCACCTATCCCCGGCCACCACAGGAATACCGGGGGGGCAGCTCCCTGCCAGGGCTTGGGGACCGGGCAGCACTGTGTTCCCATGGCTCCAGCCTCAGCCCTTCCCCAGCCCCCTCACAGCGTGATGGGGCCTGGAAGCCGCCGTCTGTGCAGCACCATGTGGTCAGCGTCAGGTAAGGAGGGATCCAGTAGCCTGCCAGCTGCCCTGGAAGGTGGGGCAGGGCTTAAAAATGGGGCTGACCCCCTGGGCTCTGGACTCCTTTACTAGGAGGCAGCCCAGGATGTCTCCTGCTTCTGCTGGAGGAGGCAGCCTGGATGGAAGAGGAAGGAAGGGTTGGAGCTTGGGAGTAGGAAGGCCTAAAAGGATTAATGCCATCTTCCTCTGTCCCCTACTCCACCCCAACCTCCCACCCTACAAGAGGACTCTGACAAGCAAGGGTCTTTTCTTCTCTTCCACAGACAGGAACGGGCCTTCCAGATTCCAAAGAGGTAAGCCTGGGTCTTCTCTGGATCCCCAGCAGTGACCAGCCTGGTGCCCAGTTTAATGCCACCATCCTTTCTCGGTGGCTTCTAAGCTCACCCACTCCCTGCTACCGCACCCAACACCAGTTCACATGGGATCTCTTCCTCTTTCCCAGCTATTCCCAGCTGATTGCTGAGTGGCCAGTGGCCGTGCTGCTGCTGTGTCTGGCTGTCATCCTCCTCTGCACTCTGGCTGGACTCTTGTGGGGCCAGCTACCCGACTTCTCCAAGCCCTTGATGGTGAGGGGCCAAGGGGAGGGAGAAGGCCCCCTAGCCTTGCCGCTTCAGCTCAGTCTGGGGCAGAAAGGTGGAGTGGCCCAGCTGGGAGTGGAGAGGCAGTGGTGGGCTTGCCAGAGAGACCTGGGGAGATGGTATAGAGGTGATACTCATGTCCAACAATCCAGGCAGGCAGGCTGGCCCTCCCTGCTTCAGGGACCTAGAGGGGCAGAGCTGAGAAAGGAGGAGAATTCTCCATCCTGCCTCCCTGATCGTTTCTGCCCTCCTCCCTGCAGGGCTTTGAGCCTCGGGACACGGACATCGGGCGCAAGCTAGTGGTCTGGAGAGCGCTGCAGGCCCTCACAGGTCCCAGGAAGCTGCTTTCCCTTTCTCCAGACCATGAGCTGAACAGGTAATGGGGTCCCAACTTTCCACTGTTTGGGAGTGGGGGATGGGGGAAAGGAACAATGTCTCCAGAGAGAAGCTAAAGGTAGGTCAGAGGGCCTTGCTGGGGCCCCTGCACAGTGATGCCTGGCTTTCTCTGAGCACCCTGCCCCTTGATGGCACCTGGCATAGATTTTCTCTCTACCTCAGCTCAAGCCCCCTCACCACTCGGAGCCCTGCACCCTGGAGCAGTGCCCAGGAGGGCATGGTCCGGCCTCAGAGGATGGTGGAACCCCTGGAGGACAAAGGGCAGGAGAGTTTCTTCTGCGGCCCTCCTGGTAAGCTGCAGCCTGGCCAGTTCCTGGCTTTAATGGTGTTTCCCGCCACCGCCCCCCTCCCCAACTACTAAAACAGGAGGGCCCAGGAGAACAAATGTGGGCAGACAGAAGGGGAAGGAGACCAGATGGTCACATTCAAGCCAAAGAAATTGGGTTACAGCTGGGAGGACAAGGAAGGTCTCAGGTGTCCTAGCCTGGTAGGGTCAAGCTGGATGGGGGTGGGGCACAGAGGAGAGAGGCAGGCCCAGGATCAGACCCAAGTTTCAGGCTCCTGAGATTCTGAACTTCATATGGCCCTGGGTAAGCATCTTCCCTTTGGTGGGCCGGGGACCTGGGGCCAAAGGGCTGAGCTCCGGGGGGGGCGGGGGTGTGTTGCAGAGAAGAGCTATGCACAGCTGGTGTTCATGTCCACCTCAGCGGGCAGCCTGTGGAACCTGCACGCCATTCATTCCATGTGTCGCATGGAACAGGACCAGGTGAGCTGGCTGGGGAGGTGCCAGGGGATGGGGGGGTATCTAGGGGCACAAGGGACCTGATCATAAGGAAACATAGCTGAGCCAGGACTTTCAGGCCAGACTGGGGAAGAGCATTCCCTGCTTAGAAAATTACTGCAACTCTGCTGAGAGGCTCCGGGTTAGGGTGGGGAGATTAGAGTCAGCTGTTTGCAGAACAGCCAAGACACAGGTGCTGGAAGACAGACCATGCAGAGCCTGGGGACTTTCAAAAGGTCCTGAAAAGGAGCCTCAGGAGCTGTTGAGGAGGCCCTGGCCCAAGGCCCCCAGCTCCCATCGACCCAAGCAGTGCCAATCCAACCATGCTAGCTGGAGAACCATGTACCATAATATCTGGATAAAGGTTTGCTACTGAAAACAGTGTGAACATCACTGAGTAGCCCAAGCCACTCACCCCACTCAAGGGTATCTGGAGGACAAAAAGACACTGGTTGAGAACATGTGCTCTGAAGTCAGATGCCTGAATTCATGGCCAGCTCTAATATTCCTTAGCTGTGTGACTTCAGGCATGTTTCTTAAACTCTCAGTGCCTCAGTCTTTGTATATATAAAATGGGAATAATAATGGTATGGCCCTCATAGGGATGTTGTCACAATGAAACAAGATAGAATTTGTAAAAATACAGCATAATGACTGGCAATAATAATCACTCAGTAAATGTTACTGTTGTCACCATGATCTCAGGCCCAATGCCACACAGCCGGGACAGGGTCTCTGATTCCCAGGCTGGCACTCTCTGTTACTACATGAGATGTTGTGAAGGGTGGGAGAAAAAAACGGGCATGAGTTCTGGAAAGGAAACAGCTCTGTCCTTCAGAAGGTTTAAGCAGACCAGTAGACAGAGGTAGGGGCTAGGGTTTGGCAGTGACCTTTATCCTGGAATGTTTTGGCCTCCACTTTTCTCACCATTTGTTTCCAGTTCCCTGGGCCTTTGGCCCTGTTCCATCTGAGGCTGTCGCTTCCACTCCTACTCCTGACTCAGGCAGTGCCAAGTTGGGGCATATGACCTGCAGGGGCCTTAAGGGCAAGATCTCTCAGGGCAGCACTCCTGACACTCCTTTGATGTAGTCAAGATGTAGCTGCTGGAACCTGGGCCTGATCAACCAGGTTTTGCTGAGCTGTCAAGATACCTCTCTGCATCTGTCCTGCAGCCTGTAAGGAGGTGAGAGGGCCTCAGGCAGCGCTGGGGAAACCTGGGCCCCCGCACTGCCCCTGAGCTCTCTCCTGCTGTGTGTGCCCTGCAGATCCGCTCCCATACCCGCTTTGGGGCTCTGTGCCGCCGTACAGCAGCCAACGAGTGCTGCCCCAGCTGGTCCCTGGGCAACTATGTGGCCGTACTCTCCAACCGCTCCTCCTGCCTGGACACTACTCAAGCTGACACAGCCCGCACGCTGGCCCTGCTGCGGGCCTGTGCCCTCTACTACCACCGCGGTGCCCTGGTGCCCTCTTGTCTGGGACTCGGGAAGGACAAGCCCCCACACTGTGCCCAGGTTCCCACCAAGTGCTCCCGGAGCAGTGCTGTCTACCAACTCCTGCACTTTCTGCTGGACAGGGACTTTCTGAGTCCCCAGACTGCTGACTACCAGGTGCCCTCCCTCAAGTACAGCCTGCTCTTCCTGCCCACCCCAAAGGGTGCCTCCATGATGGGCATCTACCTGGATCGCCTGGTTGCTCCCTGGGGGCTCTCTGACAACTACACATCCATCACTGGCATGGACCTGGGCCTTAAGCAGGAGCTGCTGAGGCACTACCTGGCCCAGGATACGGTATACCCCTTGCTGGCCCTGGCTGCCATCTTCCTCAGCATCGCCCTCTACCTGCGCTCCCTCTTCCTCACACTCATGGTGCTGCTCGGGGTGCTGGGCTCCCTGCTGGTTGCCTTTTTTCTTTATCGAGTGGCCTTCCGGATGGCCTACTTCCCCTTTGTCAATCTGGCGGCCCTCGTCCTGCTGAGCAGCGTCTGTGCCAACCACACCCTCATCTTCTTCGACCTGTGGCGCCTCAGCAAGAGCCAGCTGCCCTCCGGGGGGCTGGCGCAGCGCGTGGGCCGCACCATGCACCACTTCGGCTACCTGCTGCTGGTCTCGGGCCTCACCACCGGAGCCGCCTTCTACGCCAGCTACCTGAGCCGCCTCCCGGTCGTGCGCTGCTTCGCCCTCTACATGGGCACGGCTGTGCTGGCGCACCTGGCGCTCACGCTGGCCTGGCTGCCCTCCTCGGCCGTGCTCCACGAGCG